TTAAAAAAATTAATGAAAACTGGTACAAAGGTGGAGAGAATCCTTTCCAGTGAGATGCACATAAAAAACAAGAACACTGCTGAATGCTGCAATTTCTGTACACACAGAGAAATGGAAACAATTTCGAATTTAATTTCTGCTTTGTCCAATAATTATGTAATGTAATTATTTTGATAAACTGATGGACTTAAACTGATATCCTTCTCATTTCTTATTCAAACTTAGTCAGAATATTTAAAACCTGACTTAGATTATTGTATAGATAAGTGAAACAAAAGAAAATAAATGAATGAATCTCTATTTGTACCCAAACAAGTCTAGTGATGCACTAAATTCCAGAGTCCCAACTTCTCAGTAATTTAATGAAGAAAGAGAGCCAACCTCTGAGGACTGTTCAGCCCACTCAGGACCTGAGTCACTCTGCAGAAGTGTCTGTCTCTCATGATGGATTACAGACAGATCACAACAAAAGCAGGCTTCCAAAACGATGCCCTGAATACATATAATTCAGATATGGATTCAGAACTTTGTGTCAGAGATTTTGTCTCTGTGTCTTTGCTTTTGAATATATTGTTATTCAAATATGTAGTAGAAAAATGTTTTTAGAATGCACTTTGGATGAATTTAAGAGTCTAAGGGCAAAGGTATGTGATCAGAGCCAAGTGACTGTGTTTTAAGTGGTTGTGGTTTAAATTATCATTTTTCCACTGAGATGTTTTAATTCCCAAACCACTGCAACTTTGGAAGTGTCTAAAATTTTACCAGTGTTTTCACTGGAAAACTTGACTGAGTGTTCTGAGGTTTAGAGACCTAATGGCAATTTGCCAGCTTAAACTGGGCCCATTACTGGGTTTGTACATAGATTGTGTGCATCATTTCAAATGCAAGTTTATTACCGTTTCCTGTCCCTAATGATATATTTTCAATGGGTACATCTCAGATTCTTTTAAGCCAAAGACTTTGTCACACCATCTTTCCAGAGCTGACGTGAATGTACACCCAGACTCTTCTTGTTATTTCCGGCTGGGGACATACTAGCCTATGGCATAATTTCCGTGCCCCTACTGTGTGATCCTGTCCTTTGTATTTCTAATTTCAAACCTTTTACTAATTCAGTGCTTCAGATTGTCAGTCCAGTTAATTTTGCGTGGTTTTCCATCTGCAACTTTTTACCAAGGGCTTACAGGATCATGTCTTTGGCAAATATCGTTGGCATACTCTGAATTTTTGTATCAGTATCAGTAAAACATACACAGTTCCAAAAACATCATTTGAAACATTGCCAATAATCTTCTATGCCAGTAATATTCCTTTTATTACTTATATTGTTAACTTCCTTTAAACTATGCTGTTATTCTTTTACATTTCTAGAGCACCTTATCCAAAATAATTTTGTTTTTCCTGACTGGTATTGTACTGAATATATATGTTCATATCATCTAGATTTCTTGTGTTTGTTTTCTTAAAATATTTGTTATCCTATAAAGAGATATGTCAGGTTAATTTAGCATAATGATAGCCTATTTTGGGATAAAACTGTTATTCATTATAGTCCATTTTCATTATCTCCGTGTCTCTGGCTATACAATGCTTCATAATTTGTTTCAAATCCTTGCACAGCTCATGAGGTCACAGCCACTTGTTTTTATGTTGCCTGGATCATGTACGTTCCTTTTTCTTATGAGGAAAAAATGCTAGTCTTTATTTTTCAGATATTTGATTGTTATTGCTATTGCTGATAGATTCATTAAAAGTCTTTGTTGTTAAACTATCCTTTCATGTAGAATTTTTTAAAGTATTTTCAGGTGGAGATTATGGGATCTTGCCATCTTGGTCTAGAAGCTTCTTTAAAAACAGTTTTATGTCTTTGTTTTCTTCTCATCTTAGATGAGTAATTTCCATTTCCACAGAGCATATCATTAGCCACACTGCATTTGCTGCTAGTAGTCAACATCCCCATATTAATTTTGTTTTGGACTGCCTGTAAATTGTCTTTAATCTTAACTGTATTTTTGCTGCTTGGTGAAGCAACTCTTCTTCCCATTTTCTTTTTATTTGGATGATGAAAGTACCTTTTAGCACTTGCAGTTTAGCAAGATCTGACCTTGCCTAACATTTTCTGTTGTCACTTTCTTCATATATTTTCTGACATCTGACAGTTTTCCTTGCATATTAGTTTCCTGTTCCACCCTACAAGCTTTCTGCACAGTCCAGATATTCTCTCTGAGGTGACTGCTCATCTAGTTAGCAATGGAGCCCTTTGTTATAAAAGGTTTTTTCACATGTTTGAAGATGCAAGTTTTTAACAGTCTACAGCCAGTCTTTTTTTTAAAGGAATTCTTGCACTTTCTTCAGTCTTCATTATATTCTTATTTTCTGGTTTTTTTAAAGTGAAGTTCTGATTTATTTATGTTTAGCATTTATTTTTGTTACAGACATTTTAAAAAAATGGAATGAGTGTGTCATCACATTGAGATACAGCTTTCACGACCAACTATTCAGTAAAGTCTTGTACCTCACTTTTCTCGTGTTATGTTTCACATCCTCGCATGCCTGAGTCTACCCCTCACTGGTGGAATTCATTTTCTGGGAACTTACAATCTCACCTCATATTTTTCATAGTGATATTAACTGCTTATTTACTATCATAATTATTTACTTACTAAATAATGAAGAAATATATATACAACAAATGGAATCCTACTAAAACCTTTCTAAAAAGAATCTGAAATCATTAAGAAACCTTTCGTGCTTTCTCTAATTTTCTTACAGCTTATCACATTCTTGGTTTATACTTCATCACATCACTATTTTTGCCCTGAGGAGGATCATATGGGTACATGAGGATGTGGAAAAAAGCAAGAAGAGGATTACTATGTTAAACTGACCTGCAGATGTACTGCATCATCTATGTGAAAGGGAAGATGCAGTGAGTTATTCAAGCTATTGCAGGCAGTTTTATGGCCTTCTACTCTTCAATATAGTCCTCTCACACAAATTTGCAGTCAGAATATGGCCATTACTTAAAAATAAAAAAATAAATCCAAATGGCAAAATTAGGATGTTTTAAGAGGTGGTAAAGGTGAAAATCACACATGCAGTCTTACAAATTCATATTAGTTAAATTTCTGATAGTTTCTTTCAGTTATATGCAAGGGATCTTCCACTACTTTTCTCAATTTAATTAGGTTAACTCCTTTGCATATTCTTGTTAAATAAAGCCAAGAAACTGCTCTGTATAACTACTCTCATGGAGGTCCTTTATTAATTTCCTTTAAACAGACAAGACATTTGAAGTGAAATGATTTTTTTCCCTTTTGCATTGTATGTTAGATTAGTGCTGATAGAGGTTAGTGCTGCTGGACCATTGGTACTAACTGATAAACAGTTAGTGGCTTCTGTCTTATTCTGTCATTTAGACATGGGAATGGGAAAATGAGTCCTCCTTTTATTACAGTATCTTTTCTTCACCAACTGGCAACAAACTGTTAAATCACAAGAGTGCCTACCATAGAGAATGCAAAGTCATTGTGATGAGTAATCCTTAAAAGAATGGAAAACGGTTATATTTTGTCTTTAATTTTTTGTGAGCTATCCTAGGATTTACCATTTCCTGGAATGGTTTGTGTTGTCTCCTGTCAGTGAAGCAGAGCAATCACAAGAGTAGATCTTTATTCTATATTTTATAACCTACTTTTTTTTTAAATTGTCCTGTACCAACAGAGAGTTATTCAGCAAGTTTTAAGGTGGGAACTCCTGTTTTAAAACAAGAAATAACACTATTCTCTCATATGTTTTTGGTTTATGTTTTTTTCAGCTATTGAACTGTATCTTGTCTTAGGAGCATCTTGGAAATCAAACAAAGTTTTACTGAGCAACAAAAGATACTCCTTTTTCTAATTAATTTTTTTTTTTTTACCATAACAATAGTTATTTAAATTCCTTCTTATTGACTGCAGACTGGGCTTGTATTTTTCAGGCAGATTACTCTAACTGCAGAAGCAGATGCATTTAAAATAGACTGCAATAAGATTCTACTTTTGAGATGTAGCAATTGGATGGGAATTTTCTTCTGTCAATCAGATATATATTCAAATGGTATTTATTTTAAAATTGAACACTCTGGTTTAAAAGATGTGTTACAGTTTTCACATTTACTACCTAAAATTGTAAAGGAGTGCTGAAGAACTAAGTGATAGGAATTGCACCTGGAAGTTTGTGTGAAACGATACTTAATATGCAACATTAATAGTGTAAATTCTCAGTTCAGCTGCATATTTGGGTATTTTTGAAGAAACCTAAGGAATTTTCAAAAAACACCTTGCATTACTTTTGTAATTATTTTATTGGTTACATTACAAATTTTGAGCAATTCAAATGATAGAGGGTTAGCATGCTATGTTATAGAACCACAGAACTGTTTGGGTTGGAAGGGACATTAAAGATCATACAGTTCCACCCCCCCTGCCATGGGCAGGGACACTTTTCACTAGACCAGGTTGTTCAAAGCCACATTTAACTTTGCCTTGAATGCTGCCAGGGATGGGGCATCTATCACCTCTCTGGGCAATGTGTTCCAATGCCTTACCACTCTCACAGTGAAGAATTTCTTTCTAATATTTAATCTAACCCCACCCTATTTTGGTTCTTTAAGATACTTCACACTTAACAAATAATCATAAGTAAATACAGTGTTACAAATATCAAAATATTCCACATTGTCAATATTGTGTCAATATTTAAAGAGAAAATCCAGTTTTACAGCAGGTGGCAATGTAGAGTGTGGGTAGAGACTGGGAATGGGCTGGAGAAATCAATCACCAGAGGAGACTTCATGAAGAAGGATATGCACCTCTCAGTAAGGGTAGGAGCTGCAGCTAGTCATGATCATTTAAAAATTGAATTGATGGAATCTATTTTAAAAGCTGGATAACAAAATATCACTTTCTGAATGGAAAAAAAAAAAAGGAACTTGACACACTCTTTCCTTCCTTTGCTAGGCCATGGAAAGTGTGACTGTGGGAAGTGCAAATGCGATGAAGGCTGGTATGGTGAAGTTTGTCAGTATCCAACTACTTGCAATCTTACACGGAGAAAAAGCAATGAAATGTGCAAGAATTCTCAAGATATCATCTGTTCTGGTGCAGGTAAGATGCCTTTTGTTGCTTTTGATGGCTTGATGCTCTCCCAGTGTTATCTTGAGAATCATCATAATTTCTTTTCTAACAATTTTGTGGAGTATGTTTCAAAAGACTGAGAAATAACTATATGCATACTAAAGTGTTTCATTTTCCTATAGGCCTATTTCTGTGCATATAATGTATACTGATTCAGAATACCTACTTTAGTACTCTATCCATAGCTGTTTTAGACTGGTGAAACTGCAGCTGTGTCATGTATTTTGCTCATCAAAATGTTGTGGTAATGGCATTAACTCAAGAAGTGATGCAATTTCTTTTTCGTATTTGTGTTTGCAGCACGCCAAAATGGCATTTGCAAATATTTTTCCAGGGCATTTATAAGCTGTACAATTTTTTGGGGATGCTTTTGAATCATAACAGTGATTATTAGTTGCAGAAGACCTGCTGAATCATTTTAAGGGGGTACGTCCATCTTCAGTTTTCTGATTTGGTGACACTCTTCTCTAATTGTTTAATTTGATAGCCATCCTAACTAAAATAGAGAGTCCTTTCCTTAAAAGAAAAAAAAACAAACCACAAAAATCCAAACCAAACCAAACAAAAACAAACAAACAAACAAACAAAAAACCACAAAACAAAACAAAACAATACCAAACCCCAAAAAAAACCAGCCCAAAAATCAGAGGAAAACCAAACAGCACTTAGAAGACTTCACTGCAGAATGGTAGAATTTTGAAGAGCATTTGCTACCAGTCAAGGTCTGAGACCAGAAACTGCGCTCTGGTTTTTCCATGATATTGATCTCTGAAAGAATGTTTCAAGAACCCCACTTCTGCTCATTATTCCTGGCCTTTAGTTTCTCTCTGGGTCCATACGTTCTCATACAATGAAATTTCTCACAAGTTAGCTGCTGGCATGAGCAAAGAACCCAAAGGATTTGTGGGACTTGTTACAGAGAAGTTAGCTCTCACAGCAGGATGTGAAGCCAATTTAACATAAAACTTCTGGCATGCCGCATGCTGAGTAAATGATACATTTCATTTACGATAATAATATAGATTACGTGAAACTCACAACTGAGAGACAGATGAGAGGCAGCTAAATGAGAAACTGACTCTCAAAAGTAAGTATAGCTCACCATTATTAGTCAAAGTTCTTAAAAAACCCTCTTTCTTTCCTTGGCTAGAAGTGGCCCCCATCTTCACAGAAAAAATAGTGTAGCTGAACAACCACTATAAGTAGGGAAGTGTTTGTGAGTGATTTTGCTGATATTAAACAGGACAGGAATGCCGATGAGGCTGGCTAAGGAGTCGAGTAACTTTGTCTGTAGTCATATGTATTTTCTCTTGGAGGGATTGCCTTTTGATCTATGACTACCACTGTCCTTAGAATCTCAGCTCTGGTTTTTTATTATCAATAAAAGATGGGAAGGGATGACATGAATTGTTACAAAAACAAGTCCTCTGCAGTCCCACAAATAATTATTTATTGTAATACTTTTCATTAATCAATCAGGATCCACCTAAAATTTCACTTTTCTGACTCAACTGTTCCTAATCATTTGTCAGAATGGAGATTATCTGTAAACATGACAGTTTTCTCAAAATTTTTATTTGTATTTGTTTCTTGAGTAATTATAGCACATAATTTGAGTTCTGTATGTTACTTATGTTGTATTATCGGTTGTATTATTATCTTATTATATTAACTCTTGTAAACATTTTTTAGAATGTCTGTCCCAGAGCCCAATACTTCTGGTCTTTAGATTCATATGTTTAGTAAAAGTTGTGTTGTACTTGTAGGGGTAAAATGCAAAATGGTTTCTGCAAACTAGTTGTGTGTATCAGCACAAAAATTTAATTTTGGAGGAATTCTTTGATGTCAATAACCATGCTTTCTAAAATATGTATGTGTGTAACGTGAGAAGTATGAATCTTGTGAAGTTCATTTTTTAAAAAAATTCATACCTGTTGGCATAGTGATGTCATTGACTGCTGAAACAACTTGTGTAAGCCTACTGACCACAGGGCCCCAGTAACGTGGTATTGCACAAAATTCCTCGCCTTGCAATTTTAATAAAGGTGATAGAGGTAGAGGTAGAGAAAAGGGGTATCTTATATGACCAGCATGGTCATACTTTTGTTTCTAATATGATTTTAATGTATTTTTACCCTTTTTTTTACTGTATAACTCATTAACGTGTTTAGTTATGAACTCGGGTCAGATAAACCCTTTGAGGGAAAAAGGGCAATTCTACTTTCCCTAGGAGCAACAATTCCTATTTGGGAGGGCAGGTCATGGAGAGGGGCAGCCACTGAGGTAAGGGGGCTACCCTGTTCAAAAGACCAGGAAACAACTGTGAGACCAGACCAAAGAGATCTGTTTACAAACCCATTTCCCTCCTTTGCATTTTCTGAGCACTCTGGCTTTTTGTTGTGTCAGAAGGTTTTCGATTTTGTTTTATATTGTAGGAAAAAAATAACTCTACCCTTCCAAAGCACAGGAATGTCGTATCTCATTACAGCTAAGATTAGGCTTTTTGATGATATGGATTGTTTCTGTATCTGTCTTTATTTGAATGGATGATCTTCAGATTTCAGCCTTCTCAGAAATAAACTATTTGCCGTCTCTGGTGGACTAATGAAGCTCTTTCTATAAACTGCAGTCATTGAGTATTGTCTTAAATGTTTACAGGCACGTGTCAGTGTGGCAGGTGTAAATGTGCAAACTCAGAAGGAAATGGACTGGTGTATGGCAAATTTTGTGAGTGTGATGACAGAGAATGCATAGATGATGAAACAGGAGAGTTTTGTACAGGTATGTATTTTAATGAGTGCAAAAAATAGTGAAAATTATTACAGGCTGTTATAATTTAATTGTGTGGTCCTAAAAATATCTTTACTTAATACATGACTTAAAATAAAAGTAAATGTATTTACAAGAATTTAGTTTGCAAAATGTAAGTGGAAATTTCAGATGCAAAAATGAGCTAAGTATAAGGTTAAAAAATTCATAAATCCTGTGACATTCTCCTTCTTTTTTGGAAGAACTGCAAAGAGAATTGCATAAGGTAATTCACTAAGGTACTTCATAGCTCAGTGTGTCTGTCTTCAGTACAATATAAGAAATGTGAATGCTTTGTTTCACAGATGGGAGCAGGACAGAGGACATAGGAAAAACAAAAAACAGATTATTAAGAATTTTATTAAGCAAGTAAAAATAAAAAAGCAAGAATAAATGTAAGACGAGAACTCAAAAACAATTCAAGAGATAAGGAGAGAATGGAATGAATGAATGAATGAAAAATAAAAATGAATGAAAAAAAGTCATCTGTGATAGGAAAGGCAAGAAATGGAATGAACTCTGCTGATAGATAGAAGTGCAACCAAAATTCAAACTGTGTTTTCATTTTAACATAAGATAGAAACTGGGCAATTAAATTTTAAATATACACCATTTATGTCATTATAAATTCTGCCGCCTATATTGCTAGGGAGGCTTGCCCTTGAGCTGGAAGGTGCTACAAATACTGTTTAAGCTATACACATGCATACTGAATCCATATGCATACAAGTGTTCTGATCTGATCTTAGACTATTCATATCTAATGATGTGTCTGTGTATAAAGAGAGAGCAAGTACTTGTGTAAAATAGCTTTCCTCGCCTTTTCCTTACACAAAGAGCAAAATAAATTCTATTTACTTATGTGCCTTTGAAGGCAAAAATCCTCTTTTTTTGTTTTTGCATAGGATCTAGTAGGGATTTTAAATGAGGGTATACATAGGGGATGGTCTTCTGAAGTAAAAAAGTAGTACTTTTAGAAGAAGTACTTCTAAAATATGGTTAGTGAGGGGTAACAACTTTTGTGACCCAGTGCTTCCACTTATATTTGCTTGCAACAATTACATATGGTATCAAATATGATAAAAAGTTACTTTTTGTTTGGTTCAAGTAAATTCTCCTTCCTCTGTTTTTGTCTGGTTTTTCTTCTTCCCCCACCTGTTTTGCTGCTGGCTTATGTTAGGCTTTTCTTAGCTTTTATTTCCCATTGTTTCATCCAATCATTCCATAGTTCAGAAAAGACCAGATGCATCTGTGTGAAAAACTAGTTTTATGTGTATGGAGAAATAAAAGGATATAAAAGGACATACACTGATATAAAAGGACATACACTGTTGGTAGTCTCTAAAGTCTCTGTTCAGCATAAAAGCCACGATACCTCATTTAAGGTTTGGAGCCTTCCAAAGTATAAGGTATAAACTAATAGTTTGCTTGACTTGGTTGGGTTATATTGTAAGCTGGATAGGTTATGCAGGTAGGCCATGAGCGTTATATTTTATTTTGCTTTCTAACAAACCTCTACAGTACCAAACCATATGTTGAGCCAGGCTTTATGCAGAAAAAATGGATAGCACATGAACTGAAGGTCAAAGGCACATAATTTCATCAACTTTGAGCTGGGATTTTATCCTGGGAAAGCATACAATGCCATACTGAAACACAGATAACATGCATTTTTATTTTTGCACAAGGGCACTGCATTTTTAAAGCAAATCAGTTCTAAGGTAGAGCAAAGTTGCAAAGATGTGTTAAGCTTTTCCAGCCTCAGCTGAATTTCTATCAGTCAGTTGTATCACTTTTTATTTGAGGTTACATAAACTTTGGAATCTAGTTGTACCATTATAAAGTATACCAGTTTCTAGCAATTTAAATTCTGATCCTCATCTTTATTTCTTTTTTCTTTTGTAAAACTTTTTTGTTCCCATTGACTGATTCTTTACTTCTGTCAAGAGAAAGTGATAGTGGCAAATTGTATTATTTAATAATATTTATTTAAGGAGTAAAAAAGTGTGAGTGAAGCATGAATTTCTGATATTTTAATCTGAAAAAACTGCCAGTAGATTAAATTTACTTACTCCTTCACCATTTTCCCTTTTATTTCTTGTCTACTGTTCAGAAACAATGTTTTGGTAAAAAGAATTATTTTAGATTGCCTTTGCTGCTTAATTATCTAATTAAATTAGTTGGTTTTGACATGTAACCAAACAATGGTACTGAAAATTCCATGTGTAGTAGCAAAAACAGGAAAAAAAATTATTGAACAATTTGCAATATTGATAGTTAAGAATATGTATTGACCAGATTGTGATAGAGATGACCACTTCTACTAAACTTCAGGGAAGGAAGAACAAGATCCTGACTTGATCCTTCTAGTAAAGAATTAATTTATGGTTTTAAGATTAGTAAGAGTTGCAGCTACTTAATTTGAATTCTTTGAGCCCCTGAAGCACATGGCACAAGTACCCTAGCAGATCAAAATGTTCAAGAGCTGGTTTCGTCAAGTCTCAGCTGATGCAAGTATCTTTTTTGAGATATGTGTGATTTGTTAAATGAACGTCTGAAAGATTTGTTTTGCTAATAATTATCTTTAATGAACTAGTTTATCCATGTTCTGAAATCTTCTTAACAGGTAAGAAGAGTACCCATACACAGTGTAGGCATTGTGTAATAATAATTCCCCTTTGTGTAGTAATAATTCCCCTTTCTGGAACTATAATACTTTCTTAGACGTGCTGAGTATGGTGGGCACATGTGTCCTACCTTAATATGTAGAGCTGTACTTAAATTTGAACTGTTAAATTTACCATCTTCCAAATTCATCTATAAAGTTTCAAAAATTGAGCTAAAAAATATACAAATGTTGGTGTTAATTAGCGATTATTGATTAGATTTAATCTGTGATTAAATGGAAACCTCTTCTAAAACAGTGGAGAAAACAATAACTGACATATCCTTTGTCTTATTTTATGTAGTCATATATGGTCTATAAATTATTTCTATTCTGAGTCTAGCTCTAGAAGTTTTTAAAAGAAAAGATCAAAACAGTTAAATTGTTAATACCTTTTAAAAACTTGCTTTTTTCTCACTGTATAAAATTTGTTTTGGCTTAAGGCCATGGAAAGTGTTACTGTGGAAACTGTTACTGTGAGGCTGGTTGGCATGGAGATAAATGTGAATTCCAGTGTGACATCACCCCCTGGGAGATCAAGAAAAGATGCACATCTCCAGATGGCAAAATCTGCAGCAACAGAGGTGTGTCATTCGCATGGTCCTTCTATGCATATTTATCTAACTTGCTTTTGTTTTGCTCTATGCATTTGCTACACTAGGACACTGTGTTTGCTGATAGTTTCTAGTTTGTTCTCACCTATTTCAGGTCTGGATATACGTTTTCAAGTGAATGGGCAGATACCTGTGTTTAGGTATAAACTTAAAGAAATCCACACCCATTTCTTGATTAAGCAAACCTAAGTTGATCTCATCTTTTATTTTTGTAGTAAGACTGAGCAAGGTAATTTGTTAGTAAAAAACACCTGTGAAGTGTTCAGTAACAATGGTGAGGAAGGTAGACCTCACACAATATTTCTAAATACATGGTGTTTTATTTGCACAGAGTTCTGGAATATGAATTTTACCATATACTTCTTTCTAATTTTGCCATTTTGGAAAAAAAAATAAAAGGGCACAAAATAAGATTGTTTATTCCTAGCTGCTGTGCTTGGCTTCATTGAACAAAGAGTTAAAAAAATATGAGGGATTTTTTTGGCAATAGTCCAGAATTATTAAGGTAGAACATAAGCAAAAGTCACCTCTCTCAAAAACATCTCTACTGACAAAACCTGCTGTACTGCAAACAAACACCAAACTACTCTGAGAGAATTTAGAAAATTCTCTTTTCATAATTATGAGGAAATTGAAAGATTAGCTCAAATACAGAGATCATATAGGCCTATTTAGTCTCAGGACTTTAGCATAAAATTTTTGTGTAGTTCTGGAAATAATAATCAAAGTAGTTTCAAATCAGATACTTTCTTTGCACTGAGAGTAATTTCTTGTCAAAGAATTTGTCAAAACAAGTTTTTGTTAAGATTTGAAATTGTAATGTGTGACTATTTTTTTAAACTGACATAATAGTTGGAGGAATTGAGTGAGTAGTATGGCTGGTATTCTGAGTAGTTACAAGCTCATATACAGTGGTACATTTGTGGGATACTTCTATATCTTTAGCTTTTCATGTATTTGTGATTTTATATTCATAAAACATTTGTAGGCTTCCTACAACATGAAGTTGCTTTTGAACACAATATTTCTGCTCCATTTAGTCCTACTTACCCAGGTTTTAGTGTTTATACATCTTGTGGTATAAGTGCAGTTCATCTTGTCAATCTTGAACCTTCTAAAATCAAATATTGGGGTTAACCTTACTATCTACACTCCTTCAGTGCTAAGTTGGATAAATTGTCAGTATCTTTCCCCCCACAACTGTCTAGTCAGCCAGACGGTTTTTTGTTTGTTTGTTGGTTCTTCTTCAGTAATGTCGCTGAATTGTGAAAGGTTAAAAAAATTAGGTGCAAATTTCCTGAGGGCTGTCTCGGTAGCTTTAGCTTTCCTTCTTCATTTAAGTGTCATACATACACATTTGTGTAGACCTCATCTTTTTAGAGAAAGTGCTCATATCTATGTGTACTATTGTCCTCAAATGCATTACATTGTTTAGAGTAATCTGAATAGGATGACAAAGGAGTTGGCAGAGCAGCAAAAAGTAGAGCTCCTTTGCAGGAAATGAGCTGCATGCATCACTTAGGTCAGGCTGCTTCTGAGGACCTGTTGGCATCTCAGAAAAACTAGTGAGTCTGTGGTCCTGAAGCATATTTGAATCTCTGAGTAAGGAAACTGGTTTTTTGTTGTTGTTGTTGTTGTTCTGATTTTCCAGAGTAAGTGCTCTCAGTATGTTAGTAGGATTGTGCCAAATTTGTATTTCTGTCGTATTTCACATTTCTTCTTATTGTAAACAACTGGGTGTGGCCCTGAATATCGACTTGGGAAAAGTGGATAAATATCCTTTTCAGGTAGATCTATGCTGCTATTCTTCTTAGGTAAAGAATGACCTCCTAGGCATTTTCAGCTGGATTAGAATTTGGATTCCCTTGTAGTCTAAATGTTTATGCTTTAACAACCATTAATTATCTATTGTGCCCAAGCCCAACTCATTTAAACAGAATTGATTTTTATTGTCATTACTGTCAGGGCAAATTACTGTTGATGTCAAAGATTTACGACTGTTCTGTGCACTACATTTTTCTGTTGATTCCTAACGAGGCTCAAACAGCAAAAAGAGACTTGAACAGAAAGCCAATTTGTTTGTACAAAGTATTGCTAGTAACTAATCATAGAAGGTTTCAAATCATAGATGAAAACTTGCTAAACTTGCTCATGACACTTGCAGCTTTGAAACTGCATTCCTGTGAGAACTGAAAATTTACAAGTGTGAATTCCTGTAATCAAACTACTATTACTTTAAATTGATCAGTTAATCTTCTATCTCTGTGTCTTTTTTTCCTCTTTCTTAGGCACATGCGTATGTGGGGAATGCACATGCCATGATGTAGACCCAACTGGTGACTGGGGAGATATTCATGGAGATACCTGTGAGTGTGATGAAAGAAACTGCAAAGCAGTGTATGATAGATATTCTGATGACTTCTGCTCAGGTAAGGATTGTATATAATAGGGACTTATGTGTAGTTTTATAAAAAGAGCACCCAATTGGTCTGATCTCCCTCTTCCCTAGTGCTCCAATTCTCATTTTTCTATCTTAAAAAATATACCAAGCTTCACCTGTTTTTTCTTGTGTTTTTTGGGGGGAAGGAGGAGAGGTTTCAGAGTGGATTTTTTAAATTAAAAGACATGACTCTGTAATTATTTGCTATGCTATTTAACAAAATTCTGCAAATATTAAATACTTATAGGTGCCCATCTCTCTTCTAATGCTCTTGCATTCAGTATGACCTAACATAAATTGGATAATGGTTGAAACTTTTCATGTTATATGGAGGAGGGAGAATATTGAAGAGGAAGAAAGTGAAGGAAAAGTAAATAAAGGAATTAACAGAAAACAGTACCCTGAGAATACAAATTGACATAAGAACAAGTACAGCATCAATACTTGATGAATATGTGGCCCAGCTGCACACCACTGACTGTACATCTTAGACACATCCACCTTCCCTTTTCTTCTACTTATGCTTCAGAGGATTATGTTCAAATCATTTAACTCCATCCATCCATCCATCCATCCATCCATCCATCCATCCATCCATCCATCCATCCGTCCACCCATCCAAGGTTTTTGGTGTATTTAGATGGATGCTCCATATATCAACTAACAAAAGCTGAGATTCTGAGTTAGACCTTGCATACAGTTTTGTATAGTTACTAATAAAGATGCTAATACCAGGCAGGAGAGAAGGACTTTGATCAACACGCAGCATGAAATTTTTACACACAGGAACTCTGCAAAAACAAATGAGTGATTTCAAAGGGACTTGACAGATTAGAGGTTGCCAGCTCGAATGCATCCTGTAAAAATCTCATCTGGCCTAATTAATAATAGGAAGAATGCAGTCACATCAAGGAAACTAATGATGTGAATGATGTGGTATATTCTCCTATTACAAGAATGAGGGATCCCTCATTGAAAGATCATAGGAGTAATCAGTAACAGAGAAAACAAGCTGAAACCAACATGATGTATAAAACTTTCAGATTTTTCTTTTACTGTTAAAAAAGTGGACGTTTTTTCAACTGTTGTGTTAAGTTTTTTTAAAAATAAATATTGATGGATTACTAGCTAGTAAAAAAAGGGGGGGGAAGAAAGAAGCTAATCTGAAAACCTTCAGTGAATTAATTCACTAGTTACTGTTTTAGCCCCTTGCAAATGTTATGTAGGTTTATTTAATGAATGATCTGGAAGGATGCAGAACTGCAGTCATGAGAGTAGCAGGAGGACTGACTGTGGGATGCTGTCAGTTTTTGAATATATCATTGTGTTGCTGTCAGTGCTTTCAGCAGTCTGGGACTGATGAAAATATCAGCATCAGCTAAGGAATACAAAGCTACAAATCAACCTGATAAATGTATTCTGTAGTTAAGGATGAACACAAGGGTTTCAAACCTAAATAGATTGAAGCAAACCTGTGGCATCTACAGCTAATACTGCATAACTGAAACACTGATACTTGAACTACCCTTTTCTGGACATTATTGCCATTGCAGCTGCTGCTGCCCAGAATGGTAATGGTTGTAAGAAAGCACAGGGTAAGTAAAACAATTGCAAATCAGTTGAGAGAAAGATATTGCCATTTGACACTGGATTAAGGACTGATACAGTGTTCTTTTTACTAACATAACTGTAAATGAGCAAAACTCAGAAGAGATACGAAATGAGGGACTCATGGCTTGTGTAGTATAACTAAAACTCATGATGAAATATAGCTTCACAAATTTAGTGCTAATTATTTTTATCCATTCCCTTTCCATTATATTTTAGAAAAGCTTAATTTAGCCTTAGCTGGCCATCCAAATATACATTGTGCACAAAAATTCATTTTCACATGAAGCAGTGTGAACAATGTCTTCCACTGCTGCTTAGTACTATTTCAGAAATAGATAAGAGCATAAGTGTTAATTTTGGTTTATTGTGTTAGGCAGAATCTGCAATTAAATCAAAGATTTAATAATAGAATTGCAGTTGGACAACTTACTTGCTGCACAAAGTGTGCATACATTGCATGTGTCTGCAAAATATCCTCATTTTTCTCAAAATTATTTGTAAATTGGTTTGGGACGAATCCAGCAGAGATTAGTCAAATTAGGGAAAATAATCCATCTCTCTTAAAATCTTCATGAAACAGAGATTATATGAAATTTTCTTGTCTTGTTCTGCCTATCTAATAGGTATAGACAGGGAATGACATTGTCCTGAGTAGCATATTGAAATGATAGAAAATCAGGTTTTCATGTAAAGAGCTTTACTGTAACTGAATGAAATGTTATGTTTATTTCATAAACTATGAATGACAGGAATTGACAGCCCTGCTGTGAGGATTTAACATCACACAAGAGCAGCTTCCTCCAGAAGTTTCATATGACTTGAGGAGACTGTCAATTCACAGTACATCACATTGGCAACTAGAGTCCTTTTTTTAACACCTGAAGTGCTATTCAGTATGTTAATGAATTATTTTCTTTCAGAAGCATTCTCAACATTAAAGTGATTCTCTTCGTTTAGAGATAATAGCTTTCATGACTTGACACCAAAAGAAAAAAGGCTTCCACAAAGAAATTCATGCATTCACACATCTCATTAGCTCCTTTGCTGTGACTCTAGCAAAGAAACTATTGTATGAAAGAACATAATCCTCTCACAAGCATCTATCTGGATCAGGGAACATAGCTCCAATTCGCAACCTGTCTGCAGGTACACATGAAAGCAAAGGACAGAATCATGGAATCACAGAATGGTTTGTGTTGAAAGGAACCTTAAAAATCGACCAGTTCCAACTCTAGCCACGGCCAGGGACACCTTCCACTAGACCAAGTTGCTCAAAGCCCCATCCAGCCTTCTTTTGAACCCTTTCAGGGATAGGTCATTCACAGCTTCTCTGGTCAACATGTTCAGGTGCCTCACTACCCACCCAGAAAAGGATTTTTTCCTAATATCTTATCTAAACCTACTCTCTAAACAAGAGGAAGACTTCAATGCTTTTCAAGGAAAACAATTACTAATGTAAAGAAACATTATTCTTGTTACATTAAGACATATTCTGAGAATTACTCTGATGACTCACAGAATGCTTGCTTCCTCCCATTTTCTCCTTTTGAACTGATAAATGGGTACAAGCTATTCTTAAAACGCAAATATGGTTAGAAAGAAACATAAAGTCTGTGTTGCTATGTTTTCATGAAGAACATGAATAGAGAAGTGGACATTGAAGCAATGCTTTGGTCAATGCAATGTCCAACGAATGATGACTATATGAAAATTTTGAGATTTCTAACTTGCTGTCAGAGGTCATGAAAATAAATATTTGATTTTGTGACAGGGAATGTTTTTTGCTGATTCTCAAACTTTCCTCAGTGTTCAAGGAGTATTTTGTATTGCCAGAATCTCACCCCTTTATGCAAAGAGCATAAAGAGGGAAAAGAGCAATTATCTGGTTTTTTTCTTGGTCTGGATATATTTGCATTTATAGAGGAAATAGACATGCTCAGGAAGAGTCAGGTTAGCCAATGAGATACCAAAAATCATGTCCAACTGTCCTATTGAAAAGAGAATTATGTTCAATATTTTATTATTTATACATCAGTTTTTTATTCAAGGTCATGGACAGTGTAATTGTGGAAGATGTGACTGTAAAGAAGGATGGACTGGGAAAAAGTGTGAGCATCCACGTTCTTGTCCTTTGTCAGTTGAGGAAAGTGCTATGAAATGCCAAGGAAATTCTAATTTACTTTGCTCTGGAAGAGGTAAGAACATTTCTGAAAGAATTTTCATGCCCTTTAAATATACTTGCATTAAAAGAATTTTAATGATGTCCAGCATTACTAGTACTGAAAAATATGTACCTTCTTGGCTTACTGTGCATGAATCCCACATGCATAACTTGTGAGTTAGGAGAAGGGAAAAGAATCGCAGAAGTCACCTATTTTGCCCATCATGTTCTGCTTTGTGTTTTGTTTTACATATCTCAACGTTTGTTTTGGAGGTTTTCAAGGATGCTTTGAAAACTGCTGCAGTTAAGTCTTTACTAAAGACTCATTAAAAATATGAATGTATTCTATGCACGCTTCGCTACAAAAGCAGCATGACATTTTCAGCCTGTGTAAAATGTTGTGGCACCATTGTGATAAGGACTGGATTTACTGTGTCTAAGAAACTGCGTAATTGAGTACAAGACTGACTCTGTAAAATGCAGCTGTGCTTCAGAGCAGTTTGCTAGTTGGCCACTGGCCTTTCACATTTGTGAAATGTGACAGGTGACACATTTCTTTGTCACACTGTAACCTTTTCCAAAGTTTGACTGAAAAAGTATTTTAAGTCATACATACACTTGAAATACAAATTGCAAGCAAAAGGAAATTTTTCTCAAAAGGAAATGGACTTGCTAATTTTCATCTGTCCTGGTGTGAAATGTGTTTTCTACAGAGAAAAAAAAGAAAACATGAGAGAGTATATTGCTAGAACTGTTAATTGAAGTTGTTATGAATTCTGACCCATTAAGTATTGCTGGGAAAGGTCTAAAGCTACTCTTGATTTATTGCATTTGACCCTAAAAGTCAGTTCATTTGCAATTTCTTCTTTCATTTATACATTGTCAAAAACTGTAGGCTGCCCACCCAGGTTAGCTCTGTGGTAATTGTACTTTTCTCCCCTTGTAAATGTATAGCAGGTCATAACTTAGTAAATGCAGCATTATCAGTATCTTTAAAGAACTGTGTGTTATCAACATTGTTGCTTACTGTTTGTTTTTTTGTTGTTTGGGGGTTTGTTTTTGTGTTTTGTTTTGGGGCTGTTTTATTTTTTAGGTTTTTTTTCTTAATTAAGCTAAGGTTTTCAGTGAGATCTCTCTTTTCTTGTTAAAAATTTTCAACAGAATTTTTTGACTATGAGTTAGGTGAAAAATGAGCATTTGTAGAGAATTAACTGCATTTTATGGTTCATAATTGCAAGAATGACAACTAAGAGAAAGGAGGGTTGAATTTTGATTTATTTTATTTTAATTTTTTTCAATACTGGCTCATTTTTTTCTGTTGTCGTTTGATGCTGAATGAATCTTCTTTCATCTGCTTCAATAGAAGTTGTTATGTTGAGAATCTGAAGTCATAAAAAGAAGTTTAATTAGAATAAAAATGCAGTCAGGTTATGGAGCATATATGTTCTATTTATATTTAAAATATTTATATTTTAAATTCTTATTTTTTAAATTAAATATAATGAGAAGAGTAATTTTAAGGTTTCAATATTAATGTCAATAATTCTATCCTTTTGACTTTCTGAAAAACACTTATGAATGCTGACAGTGTTCTTCTGTTGAGATACTAGCAGTGAAATTCAGGTGAATTCTCTTGACTGAGTGATCTGTCAGTCAAAATTTTCAAAAAAGGTACAAGTGGCATCTGTTGGAACAAAAGGCGGCTTAATTGATAGTGGCTTTCACTGAACTTTGACTTCCAAACACAAAGAGATCACCAAGGTTTTTGAGGAGTGCAAAAGGTACAGAAGTGGATTTAGGACATAGCATGATAGACAGCTGCTGTAATGAAGGAATGGGAGATTCTGCATTCCACGCTCGAAAAAAGATTTCCATGAAAACTCTCATTGTAAAATGGAAAGTAGTATCTTGTTTTAGTTTTATGAACAATTTGGTTTAGGAAATCGGGAGAGAAAAGGAGAAAAGATATTTTAGTCTACTCGTCTGTGTTTTACTGGGTAGGGTTTTTTTTTTTTTTTTTTACACTGGACTCCCTGGATTTCCCTTTCCTCCATGATATTCTGGATATAATAAAAAATGTAAGAAAGTTCCTGCATTCCTGAATTGATTAGTTTTAGTTCCTATTAGCATTTAGTTCCTATGAACTCATAGGAATAACGAGCTGTTTCATGGGTTCTGGTCAGCATGCGGGGAGGGCAGAGAAGGTGCCAAAAATATATTACACCATGGTCTTATATTTCTTAGTTGCTTCAGCAGGTGAAGGAGAGACAAGGCTTTATATTGACATGCTGAACAGTAAATTAGTGTCTACATGCTAAGATCATATTATAAAGGCAGAGCAATTATACATCCTCTCAGTTACACCAGTCAGTCTGTCTATATCTGCAGTAGTTCCTGTTATATATAAAGCGTGAGAAATTTTTCATACGAAATTTTTGGGAGTTAAAATATATTACTCTCCAAAAACTACTTTTCCTACAAAAGTTTGTTGAGGATGAGGAGAGATTCTAGGCAGCTTCATTCATATAAAGTGAAGAATTCCTTCTACACTTCTATTTCAATTTTTTTTTTTAGCTTGCTGTGCAACTTCTCGCTGTAGATATAATACTTTCATTTTTTTCACAGAGAAAATCTATCACTTCTAAGAACAAGCTGTACAGCAAGACCAGTGTCAGAGATAAAGGAAAAGACACACCAAAAATCATTATGGTTAGAAATAAAGAGATAGCATATTGTTGTCAGGATTAAGGCACAAGGCAAACCAGTTTTCTCTTTAAAACACACATCACTCACTTGAGTTTCCCCTTTGGGTAAAAAGCAGATTTCAAAATAGTTTTAATAAAAAAGCCTTCAGGAAGATAAATGATAAAAAAAAGGGTAGGTTTTGAGAATAATGAGAGCTTTTTTAAAAAATAATCTTGTTTTCATGACTTACCCTTAATGAAGGCACCCATTCCATGGTATATTTCCAAAGACAGATAAATAACAAATCTTCTTATTAGTGCTGTTTTTTAACATTTAAATATATTTTCTATAATTGCTTTTATTTATTTACCATATGGGGATAATTAAACTGCTTCTTTATTGGTGAAATTCCACCTTACACTTATGCTCTATCATTGGCTATCTGAAATATGAAGGTATTTTTCTGATTCTGTACTGAAAAATATTTCTGTTGTCTCTGAAAATGCCCTTAAGCCCCATTTTTAAAATACTAAATTAATTAGTTTAAAAACCGTGTGGAATTTTGAAAGTTTACTGATAGAGTTGATTGAGAGTAACTTTGCTGTTTCTTCTCTATTTAAAATTACTAGATGTTGATTGACTTAGTGGAAGAGCAACAGTGCTCAATGCATTATTAAACATTCCTTGTGGTGAATTAAGACAGTGAATCAATCTCTTGTGTTCTGTAATGTATATTGCCCGTCTGGCAAGATACCATCTCCTGAAGTTTGAAAACAAAGCTTAGGGATAAGGGTCAGTGGTGACTCCAAAGAACAGTACCACTGGCCCCTGCCTGCTGTAGATTCTTAATCCTTTTTTAAGATATCTTGACTGTATGACATCTTGTATGATATACACTTTATGCTGCTCTGAAACATATCTCATTGAAGCCTTGACTGGTGCAGGAAATGCCGTAAATTCCAGTTGATACCATTCACCACGATATGCAGAAGGAAAGAGGAAGGCACATGACATAATCATACCTGTGTAGCGACAAGAGTGGATGGAAACTCCATAAAAATAATGTGCTAAATAGCTGCGTAAAAGCAGGTGTAACTATGCATTTCTCTTCTGACCTTTGTGAAGTCTTACGTGACTGATGGAAAATATGGCATAAAATATTCCAGTTGTGATTAATTTTGGGGGTTGGATCATCAACTACTATAGTTTCATATCCTAAGGTATTATATAAACCTTTGGCTGACATCATTCAGCACATCTTCAAGATTTTTAATTCTATGCAAACTGTAACATAGTAATGCTGATCTGTTCATATCTCCAACAGGTAAGTCTCCACAGACAGCTATGATGCCTTCAAAAGGTGTGAGGGAAACAGGTGGCATGTATCAGATCATGAGAACTAGTTCTCTGCTATTACCATTGGAGTCTCATTTACCAATAGTTTTATGCCCCCACAGTTCTGGTTTTGTTGTTCTAAGTGCAGTTATTAGTTAAGGATTTTGGAGTTCTCCTCTAGTATGATATTGCCAAAACTGATCAAAAAACCCACAAAAACCTATTTCTATCAGACACCTCTATAAAAGCATTGTTTCTAAAGGCTAAAGTTGTTGACTTAGTAAAGGAAGATGAGAATAGAAGTTGCTATTTGAATAATTTACTGTAATTTATACATGACAGGATGGGGTCAGAGCAGAAAAGGGTAAACAATCCTAAGGTAAAATCTAGGTTACTACCCCTGCTACCAGCTCTTTACTGCAGACTCTTATTATGCAAAGTGTGCTGTTTAATTGAAGTGTAAATTACTCTAATGTACATCATCTCTGAATTTGGCATGCTGTTTTCATTCATTTTGCATGACCCCTGCATTCTGAAGGAGGTATTAATTAAAGCACTATAGTAGACAGCCTGGCAGCAAGTAGTGTTATTAGCTGGTGTAAGAAGAACAGAGCATAAATTCAAGTCATGTGTCATGTCTCTAGCTTTCATCTCATCAGCTTTGAGATTGAGCTCTGTTATACATCTGTGTGCTTCAAGCAGAGAGGCACTCTTGCTATGCTAAAAATTTAATGCTGAATGAGCTGGCATAACAGTATATGTTACACCCTTATGTGCCAGACTGACACCCTGACCTCCACTTGTAGTCTGTTGAAGTCTAAGAAAAAAATAGAGATAAATAGTTGCATCACACTCCTCTTATATTTGTTTATCAATAGTATAGGTCACCGATTTTAAGCTGTTTCTCTGATTCAGGCTCTGAGCCTTTCTCTCTCTCTTAATTGAAGCAGGATCCTCTGGAAGCTGCCTTTTGTTAGGAAAGCCAATTGGGAATGGTTGAGAATTTTTCACCTT